ATGTCTTAGTTACCTCACTCAGTATAACAATGATCATTTCCATACACTTACTTACAAATTCAAAACAAAACAAAACAAAACAATGATTTTTATTTTCTAGTTATTAATATTAAAAGAATGCTGCACTTTATTTGCTCATTCTCATATTTCTTCTCTTAGTCATTTTAAGAGTTTATCCTACAATAAAAACAAAAATCTGAAGAGTAGTAGATTAAGATTATAAAATTTGCCTGTGATGATATTATATTAATATTGTATTAATTAATTAATATTGTGCTAATTATATTAATATTATAGTAATATAATAATATGTATTATAATTAATATGATAATATTATTAAATAATATTATATGGAAATAATTGTTAAGATAGTAACATAAAAGTTTATAGAAAATTAATGTAGATTTCAGTTGGGACAGAAGCATGGTTCAATGGGAAACTCTTATTGCCCACTGCAACACTTATTTTTCATAAGAACAACCACAGTCTTTGTTATTATTTTTCAAACATACTTTTTAACTTTGTTTTGAGCCCAGGAAAAGATGAAATAGCATTTCAAGTGTGGACTAAAATAATTATAAAGCTCAACAAATGTAGTAGTCAAAATGAGGCTAGCTGCTGGAGTGAATATTTGAAATTTCAATTACTATTTGACTTTCATATGCTACCATTACCACCTATGTCATATAAAGGTATTCTTTGTTGAATACCTCCTTTGTGCAGCTTTATCTTGGGAAGGAATTTAGAGGTAAGTTCCCTCAAGAGCCATCAATCTCTAGACTCATGTGTTTGGATGCTTGGCCCATAGGAAGCGGCATAAGGAGGTATGGCCTTATTGGAGTAGGTGCAGCCTTGTTGGAGGAAGTGTGTCACTATGGGGGAGGGCTTAGTCATATATTCTCAAGCTACTTCCATTGTGAAATACAGTCTTCTTCTGCTGCTTGTGGGTCAAGATGTAGAACTCTCAGCTCCTTCCCTAGCATCATGTCTGCCTGCACGCTGCCATGCTTACCGCTGTTATGATAATGGACTAAATCTCTGAATTGTAAGCCAGCCTCAATTAAATGTTTTCTTTTATAAGAGCTGTCTATGTCATTGTGTCTCTTCACAACAATAAAACCCTAACTGAGATGGCCTCTTTGACCATAGAGTGCTGACCATGCTTCATTATTCATTTAAAAAGGTCAAAGTACCTCACCTGGGGAACTCCACTTAGCTCTGCTTTTGAGTTAAAGTCCACCAAAACAGTATTTAGAATTTTAACATTATTTTTGCTGCTGTATACAATATTATATAGTGTATACAACTTGACATTACTGGGAAATGACATCAGGTACTCAAAAGTATTAAGATTTGAACTGAAACTGATCTTTGGTCAAACAACAATAGCAACAAAAACAAAGCAAACTTCAGTGCACTGATGGAACCCTAATTAAGTCATTTTTCCTGAATATTACCAAAACATTATGAGGAAATATTGTCACAATATCTGATTTTCTCTGGTTCTACCATTAAGTACAGGACTAAATAAAATTTAATTATTGGACTTTAAACACTTGTTTTTAAAGTGTGATTGTTGAGAATGTAGCACAGTGGCATAATGCTTAACTTCAGAGTTTGCTTAGTTTATTTTTAGCATTCTTTATTAAGGTACAAACAATTGACAAATTCTGCACACTGTTTAACATATACTATCAATGAATTTGAGCTTATGCATATATTTGCATAGTCTTCACCACAATCAAGACATAAATATACCCACCACTATCATGAAGTAACCGCTTTAAACATACTGCTGAAGAAAGAACTATGCAGGCCTGGTGGGTCGCTCATTTAGTGAAGGGCTTGCCTTGCAAACACAAGAGCCTGGGTTGTTGCATTCCCAGAACCAACTTAAACATGGCAGGTGGGCTCCCATCTGTTTGTAATAGGCCAATTCTGAGGAGGTTGGCATGAAGCTATCTTTTGAGCTTACTGGCCAATCAGTCTAAGCTAATTACTGAGCTTCTGGCCAAGAAGAGACCTTATCTAAAAGTCTGTATATGATTGTATCTTGAGGATGATACCCAAAGTTGTTCTTTGACCTTCACACACACACTCATGTAATACTCAAGAACCTGTTCACATGTGAACATGTATACCCATGAATAAGAACATAACTAAACTTAAGGACATGTATATGTGCTTTGAATGGAATAAAGGCAACTGAACATTTCTTGACAAGTGCTGATGCAGATTATTTGAAATGGTGTCAAACACATATAAGTACATCTATGATTTACTTCAAACATATTTTTGTAAATCAGAGTTTAAAACCAATTTTTTATTAAACAAAAGATAATTATACTTTTATTAGGATATGTTAGCTTGAGCATCTGTACTAGGATTTCAGAGAAGACTTATGTCAGGAATAATATGGTCAGTTGTATAATGAAGGGTAAAATCCGAACTATTTTCATTATTCTGTCTATAATAAGATAGATTGTAAATTGTTATGCTTGTTGTCAGAGAGAAATGTTTGCCTACAGACATAAGATGTGGAAAATGCCATTGCCCTATTTTTTAAACAATGGGGAAAAGATAAATGACCTCAGACTTTTGAAAAGATAAACTTAAAGGAGATTTGCACATTTGTCAACTAAAGTTAAAACTTTGAATACAAGGAATCCAAAACTTCAAGCACCAAGCACAACATTATGTCTGTTAACCATAGATGAATAAGTAAAATCCAGTGCTCGGCTCTGAGAGAGTGAATTGGTGCTAAAAATAGCTCTTTCTTTCTGACCTAGTGTTGCATGTGCTCCAAGGAAGGATTTTTGGAAACAATTTCAAGAAAATAAGGTAACTTACATCTAGAGTTTCTACACAGTGAACTTATGCAGTACATTTTTTTAAGTGAAAATTGTATGTCCTGCTTCAACAGTGAAGACGAGAAAAGGCTGTTCCTAGAGTCCCATCCTTACCCTAATGTAGCCAATAAAATATTTGGGACTCATGGTGATCAAGTTACTGATTAGAGGAAAGTCTCTTTATAGGAATCAGAAGTCAGATCAGGAACTGTCTTACCTCACAAATCAAGCACTAGTCCTTTTAGCACACTTATGAAGATGTTTTTTTTTTTCTTCTTTCTTTTATGAACACAAGTGCAAATTGTTGATATTCAAAGTACTCTGACTTCCCACATCAAAAAAATTATACATGTGGATGAAGCCAGCATCACCAACAGAACTACCAGGTCAGACAGGCTTCAAAGAAGTTTCAAAAAAAATAACACCATTCTCCTATTTTCCACTTTTTTAATTTAATTTTTAATTGATTCACTTTACATCCCAATCATAGCCTCTCCCTCATCTCCTCCTGGTCCCACCTTCCTTCCCTCTTCTCCCATCCCTATCCCCTAGTCCTCAGAAAAGCGGAGCCCTCCTCCCCTATCAACGGACCCCATCCTATCAAGTCTCATCAGGACTGCCTGCTTCCTCTTCCTTTGTGGTCTGGCCCACCACGGGGAAATTGTTAAGGAGCAGGCAACAGACCTTGTGTCAGAGATAGCCTCTCCTCCCCATACTAGGGACCCCACTTGGAAACTGAGCTGCCTATTGGCTACATCTGAGCAGGGGGCATAGGACCTCTCTATGTGTGGTTCTTGGTTGATGTATCAGTCTCCTCAGGCCTCCCTAGGCCTGAGTTGTCGCTTCTGTTGATTTTCTTCTGAGCTCCTGTCCCCTCCAGATTCTTCTATGCCCCCACTCTTCCATAAGACTCCCTGCACTCTGCCCAAAGTTTGACTTTTTGTCTCAGCTTTAATTCACTGGAGAGGAGTCTTTCAGAAGGCATCTATGGTAGGCTCACTTGCTTTTTCCTCTCCTCATCTGCTTCCATTGTTTATTCTATTTGCCTTTCTGAAGAATTAAGCATCTTTCTTAGGGTCTTCCTTGTTACTTAGCTGTTTAGGTCTGTGGATGGTAGTATGCTTATCCATCTTGTATTATATAGGGCTAATATTGCTTATAAGTGAGTACATACCAGGTGTGTCTTTCTGGGTCTGGGTTATTGGCAAATTCTGAAGAATCGTTATAAAATCATCATCTTGTTCTGTCATTTTGATGATTGACCTACTTTCAGATTTTCATGTATTAACAAACATGTCTTATTCTTGGTCTTGCCAAGTTCTATGGGAGTCCAGCTCCAAGCTGAGGGATCTTGTTAAGCAGACCTGTCCTTGGACTGTGGTGTGTTTGCAGCTGTCTCATTTTAATTTCAGTTTTTCTTCCCAATTCCTGAAGTCTAGTTGTAGGTGTGTTCTGGTAGGCAAACTCTAAATAATGTCTTGTACATTAAACTTCAGTAATACCCTAAAATTCTCCTAGAAAGACATTTTTGGCATTACTTTTATATCTGAACTTTTTCTGTATGTGTCTTCTTTCTGTAGAAACTGACCAAGGTCTATGATCTTATTATTATTTTTAAATGAAATGCGTTTTCAATCTGTAATGGGAAAGAATGTGTTATATCAAATTTTCTGTAGTAGAAAGCATAAATGAGGATGTATTCATATCCTTTCTAATATGCAGTAAGGGTTATCTCATCAGGCTTGGACTGCTTAAACCATACACATTGTAAAGGTTTTCACAATGGGCCTTATATTTGCAAAATGCATCCCAAGTCAGAAATAACCTGAAGGTGTGTCTCCATATACCTTAAGCATGGGATTGACTCAGAGACCTAACACAGAAGTGCTGTTTACAGTGAACACTGGATTCCTTGGCCATCAGCTTCACCTCTGAGACTGTGTAGTGAAGACCAGCATACAAGTATTCTATGTTTGTGATTATCTCATATAAAAAAACTAAACCTTGTATGAACTTACATCATTGCTGTGATTACCTTGGGAAAAGACAAAAATCATGGGGGAGGGTATCTCAGGAGATACAATGCTTGCTATGCGAATAGGAGGTCCTAAGTTTGATTAGCCAGAACTCATGTAAAAACTGGGGATTAAATACTAACCTAACATAGGAAATACCATGATCACAAGGTGGTTTTCCCTGGGAGAGACTTAGTCAATGTACTCTGAATATGCTGTCCACTGTGATTTCCCCAAATGCAGGAAACTCAACTGTATAATTTGTGGTAGTGAAGACTGCATTCATGCTTTCCCCTGAATCAGGGGAGAAAACTGGGCATTCTAATGCATAATTCAATACTATACAGCAAGATGGGAAGTACAGACATGACTGTAGCTAGAAGCTCAAGAACTGACAAAACTGGAATACACAGAAATGAGGTGAAAGATGAGGATCATCATTCAATATTGTTCTGACTTCCACACATGTGCTATGGTGTTCATGTGCCTATATTCACATTCATCAACACACACACACACACACACACACACACACACACACACACACAAGATAAAACATGAGAAAATATATTTTCAATTAAAAATTTTAAATATTTTTAAGGTTACAGTCCTTTCTGTATTTTTTTCTTTGCTAATTTTAGTCTGTGTCTTCACTGTGTAGAGAACTATAACAATCTTTCCTGAGAATTCAATCCTTATAATAAATCATAGATATTAGTGATTACTTGGGGGACTGACAACAGAGCATTATAGATATTTCTTAAAAACCAAATGATCAATTGTTAATTGAGAAATAAACTCACCATTCATAACTAGAATTCCCATCTTTCATTCCACCTTCAATCTGAATAGCTTCCTATACAGCACAAATACAAAGACTCACTCATATAAACCACATTATATTACTTGAAAAAGAAATATTATTTCATTTAATATATCTTTGCCAGATACACAGTTAATCTAGTTAATCACACCCAGCTTATTCTGTCAGAACATTCATAGGAAGCCACTTCTATCTTTGCCTTTAGTAGACTGATGTATGCTTGCATTTTCTCTGCTCAGATAATTTGTCTGGAATTAAAGTGTGCAATCCTAATGTAGACAGATGGAAGTACTCATTCAAAACCATTCCTTCTTTCCTTCCTTCCTTCCTTCCTTCCTTCCTTCCTTCCTTCCTTCCTTCCTTCCTTCCTT